CCCACCCCCCCCCCCCCCCCCCCCCCCATAAATACTCTGCTCCCCCAAGCCTGGCACACACACATACATGTTTACAGATCACACACACCGTAAATAGTCTGTGCTTCCCCAGGGCTGGCACACGACACCCATGTGTTTAGAAATCTCTCTCACACACACAGACATGCCTAAATACTCTGTGCTCCCAGGGCTGGCACACACACATAGGTGTTCAGAGATCACACGCACGCCATAACTACTCTAAGGGATTGGGCACATGCGCCACCTGTGCTCTGGCCCCACTGGGATACACTGCCTGAGCTCTCATGTGGCTGGTACACATGCTTATGTTTAGAGAGATAACACACACACACACCATATCCTGAGATAACAGAGACATGTGCTTTCCGTGCTGACAGTGTCTGTGCTCCCCTATAGCACATGCACACACATGCTTAGAGATCACCCACCCCCCACACCCTGAGGAAAGAGGCACAAGCACTGCCTGTGCTCTAGGCCACTCTGACACACTGCCTGTGTTCCTCTATCACACACACAAACACTCACTCCCTATGTTGCAAGGGAACACGCACAGACATACACATTAGAGTCTGAAATTACAAATACATTCACATGCCTCATGATTCAAGATAACATGCAGACACACGTACTTCCAAGGCAGCATCTTGATCATGCTCTGAGATAACGCACAATCTGGCATAAATACAAGCCCATACACACACGTGCGCGCTCTCTCCCTTCCCCCCATGTTCTGAGGGAACACACTCAGGCACGCACATTATAGTTTGAGATTATAGACAAATTCACAGTCCTCGTATTCCAAGATAACGCGCGTGTGGGGACACACTTCTGAGACAGCATGCCCATTATGCTCTGAGATAACATGCGCAATGTGGTATAATACACACACACGCCCCCATACTCCCTATATCCTGAGGGAATGCACTCAGACACCCATGTCAGTCTGAGATTACAGATGCACACACGTTCCTCATGTTCCAAGATAACGCTTATGCAGACACACCCCTTCCAAGACAGCACACATGCTATGCTCTGAGATAACACACGCATCCTGGTATAATACACACACACACACATACAGGCAGTCCTCGGACTTATGACACAATTGGCTCCTTAAACCCACGTCTTAAGTCAAAACATTGCAACTCAGAACCAATTTCCACATAGGAACAATGTTATAAATGGAGGATTGGTTCCTTTACGACCCTCGATACAGCTGTGTCCAGCTGGTAAGTCTGTTGTAGTGGAAGGGGAGAGGGGGAGGGAAGGGGCGTGGGGGGCAGATTAAAGCCCCCATGGTGAGGAAGGAGTGGGGCAGGGGCCAGCCCCTGCTCTGCTGGGGTGGGGCAGGCTCGAGACAGAGCCTCAGTTTGTTTTAGGGGTGCAGGGAGGGGGAGGCAGCTCCTGCCGCTGCCGCTGCATACTGTTTATCCGGGAGTTACTCATCTGGTGGCTTTTCCAGGGGGCCCCCCCCCCCCCCCCCCCCCCCCATGCTCAGTGGTGAACGGGGGTGGGCGTGTGCCCCCAGATCTGGGCGGGGCGGGCTGTGCTCAGGGCAGGCAGCAGAGCGGGGGTTATGGGGGGACTGGAACCACCTGACAATTCGCCATAGCCCCCACTCCCAGTGCCGCTGCCACCTACCCAAAGTGCAACCCGGTGCAGCCCCAG